ACTCTTGCTTCTGTAGAAAAAAATTAACACAAAAGGAACAGCTTTGTTCCATGATTAGCATTATTACTGATTCATTTCTAAGCATGCATGGACCTTTTGGAGTCTTTCTTGTGAGAGCATGTGAGATTTATTTTGTGTAATAGACCTGCTTCTCTTTGCTGTCCAGGTCAGTGCTAACTGTTGCTTGTGAACAAACAGAAGTCCTGCTGTTCGATCCCATCTCTTCAAAGCACATCAAAACCCTTTCCACTGCTCATGAGGATTGTGTAAATAATATCAGGTTAGTCTCTTGGGAAGTGAAAATCAATTGCCAATGACTAAAATTCCAAAACTGTTTCGTTCAACTCTTAACAGTAGTGAAGGATGAAGTTGTAATGTCATCTGAATTAGTTGCCATTCAAAAATATTTGTTTTTCTTGCTCTCATCATCAATTTGTATCATCATTTGTTATATTACTTTCATGTCTTTGTGGAGATCCAAGCCACATCGCTGTAGCCAATGAGCGGGTAATGTGGAGGAACACAAATTATTGTAGGAGCCCCCGTCTTTATAGAGGGGTCCTATGTTTTCAGGTCCTTAAATTATTCACCTCTCCTCTACAATAGTTAGCGCCAGCTGTGCCCAAGAACCCCAGAGATTGGATAAAGAAATGTGTTCAACTGCTGCCAGTTCTTCCTCTGATCCAAGATGATCACAAACCAGAGTAATAATTACAGTGTTCAAAAAACTATGGCACTAGAAAAGAATTTAAGGCAGATATAATTCCAAATGGAGAATAAGGATCCAAAGAAAAATATATAACAACATGAAAACTTAATTTCAAATTCGACTGAACACATTGCTTTGTTAGTAACTAGCAAACATTGATTAAAACAAATACCTATAACAGCTAATCATTGAACATGATGTAATTGTTTATAGTTATTTAAAATTTGTGTTTCTTTTCAAATGAGGTATTTTTTTATGGATTGTGAAATGACAAAGTAACGGTACCTCTCATACATTCTTACTAAATAAGCCAAATGTAAAATTGGCTACCTTAGAAAGCTTCTTCTGATATTTCTTAAACTAGCGGGTCCTCAAATTCTCAGCTCAAGCACTACAGCCCATTTTTGAGAACTGCTTTAATCTTTCAGAATTCAGATGCTCTAAAAGCACTAAACTGATACTACCCTATACTATACAATTATTATTTGGAATCAGTGCAGAGTAACATTTAGTGTTATGATTTAGTGATGTTTGATATGAACTCGATTGCATTAAACAGATCCTGTCCCTTCCCTTCCCTTCCTTTTTTTTTTGTATTTGTAGGTTTCTTGATAACAGATTGTTTGCAACATGCTCTGATGATACCACCGTAGCACTATGGGATCTGAGGAAGCTAGATTCAAAAGTGTGCACTTTACATGGTCACACCAGCTGGGTGAAGAATATTGAATATGATACTAACACAAGATTGCTAGTAACATCAGGATTTGATGGAAATGTCATCATTTGGGATACCAACAGGTAAACAAATTTCTCATTGATCCCTTTCTTCATTTAGAACTACTGAAATGACAATAATACTTCCTTTTTAGTATCTTAACTGAAAACCTGTTATCTGCATGGAAATAGAATATGGTTGCACTTTGAGTTTCTTGGTTCATGTCTTAGTGTTGTGCAGATGTAGGTCAAAATTCATTCCCTATCATCCTTTATTCTTTCCTTTCCCCTTTATTGTAAGGTCAACAAACTGCCATAACTGAAATTAGCATAAGGCTTCTGGAAATTGCCCACTTGGAGCCAAACCTGGAGCAGAATCTCAAAACATTTTTAAATTTTGGTAGATGAGTAAGAATGACCACATCAAATCTTTACTATGACCATAAATCCAGGAGTTTTATTTATAAAAAAATAAAACAGATCAAAAAAGAGAATTAGAACTATTATACTGAAACCAATTACTAGGTGGTTTGAGCAGCAGTGATTTATCATCACTGCATAATATCCCAGTGCTTTACATCAGCACATACAATATTGGTGGATTAGAGGTATGGGAATATATTCTAGAACATCTGCCACACATTGTCTTACTTTATAAGCAGCAATAGTACTGGGTCATGGCAATTGGTATTTGTTTGAAGCTTGCGTCCTTCTGCCTGTGTACTGCATATGAAATACTGCCAGCAACCTGTGAAGGAAAGCAAAATCCTGCTGCTTCTTTGAAGCTATGGAGCAGATGATTTGGGGATGGAGTTGAATGACAGAGAAAGCTAATTCTTTGGTACAGCTATTTCAGTAGGCATATTCAGGTTGAGATTCCTCACTATCAAAAAATATCAGTAGAAAAATAACAGTGTAGCCACTTTGCTTTTCTTTAAATTATATGTCGAACAGGAAGAGGAAAAATGAGTATTATTCTTTAAGAGAAATACTACCTCAAACATAGGACTAAAAACGGGGGTTCTTAAAATTACTGTGTTTCCCCAAAAATAAGCCCCTCCCCTAAACTAAGATCTACCCTGATTTTTTGGGGGTGGCTAATATAAGCCCTACCCAAAAAATAAGCCCTAGTTAGGACCCTGCCCACTCCGTCCCGCCTCGCTGCCGCAATGGGGCAGGAGGCCGCGCGGCATATCACCGCTGCCACCACAAGGCGAGGCAGGTAGGGGAGGGGGTGGAGGGCGCGTGCCCCACGCGCCCTGCACCCGCTTACCGGTACTTCAGGGCCCCCCCACCAGGCCATTCCTTGATTGGCGACCTTTCACTCCCCTCCTGAGCCAGACGTCCACGCTATGGCGGATGGGATAGGCGGGGTAGGGCCGGTCCCACTCCGCGATTTCAGAGCCAGGGGGGAGTGACAGTGAACGGCTCCGCTGCTGCTGTGCGCTGCTGAAGGGGCTTTCTTTAAGCTTTGGCCCACAGGTCTCCTGCCCGGGCGCAGCCGCTGCCTCTTTGTCCTCCGCCAACTCTCCCGGCTGCCTGCCTCCGCCAGCCCTTTTGTCGCCTGACTCATGGAGAATGGAGAATGCAGCAGCTCTGCACAAGGATGCAGAGCAGAGAACAGCACTTGCTTGCTGCCTACATTGCCCCATGTCTCCCTTCTCCCTGCTGGCAACGGCAGCCCTGTTTCCTGCCGCTTCTCCTCCCGGTGCAGCTCCTCCCTCTTCCCGAAAGCATTTCTTTGCTAACCTGCTTTCCAGCTCTGGCGCGTTTCTCTTCTGCCTCAGGGAAACGGAGTTTGTGGGAGTAAAAAAAAGTTCAGTCAGACCCTCCAACTTCTCGCGACAAAAAAAAAAAAAGATTCCTGTGGTTTGATGGGTGCCTTTCCTTAGGTGCACAGAAGACGGTTGTCCTCACAAGAAGTTCTTTCACACCCGCTTTCTCATGCGCATGAGATTGACTCCAGACTGCTCCAAAATGCTGATCTCCACTTCTTCTGGGTATCTTCTGATCTTGCATGATCTCGACTTGACCAAATCTTTAGAAGTTGTCAGTTATCCCATTCTGAGAGCCAGGAGAACCACATCAAATTCTGGCAAGTCTTTGGATTTTGCTGTTGTTACCCCTGTTGTCTTTACTGTTCCTAGATCTTACGAGATAATGGATGGCATTGGATAGATAGCATTGTATGCAAGAAGTTAATTTGAAAAGCTTGAATAGTAGATATATTGCAGAAGGTTTGTGGAGTGAAGGACATGTGCTGAGAGTTCGTGCATAGTATTTCCCTACTAACTTGCAAACACTAAATTTATACCCATTGGCTTCATTTGTACACCATATTAAGTTAATTTCAGTGTATGAATTCAGCTAATTTTGAATGCATTGTTTTATTGCATCTTTGTGTCTATTTTTAGCTGACTTAGTTGCCATAGGGCAGGGGTAGGCAACCTTGGCTGTTTTATGACTCGTGGACTTCAACTCCCAGAATTCCTGAGCCAGCATGGCTCAGCTTGGAAACCTCTCCCTTTCCCCTCAGCATGGCTGGCTCAGGAATTCTGGGAGTTGAAGTCCACGAGTCATAAAACAGCCAAGGTTGCCTACACCTGCCGTAGGGTGACTAAAACCTTTGAGAAATAAACTGCATAAGCTTTCTTTCTCTTAGAATAAACTACCATCTCATGTTCATACATGTTAATCAATCTGGATGGAGCCACTTATGGTTTGTTAGCTTTGCCTCTTTTTATGAAGAGCCGGCAGTGCTCTTGAGTGGCATATGAACTACTGTGGTGCCTGTTCTTTTTGTGACTTTTTGAGCTGGGTGAAAACAGCCTAATGTTTTTTGCATGGCAGCTTTTTCTAGAAGAATGCCAGTATAAGCGTTGCCTTATCGGTATGTTCTGCTGTTACTAATCTGGCAATAACAAGGATTTTTCAGTTTTCAAGAGGACTGAGATTCCAAGGAAAATAATCTGTAAGCTATTAATTTATAAACCTTTGTAATACATCTTAGAAATAGGCAACCAAATAATACCTTACACTAGAAAAGTTCTTAAAAATCAAGAACAACCTTCACGATCACTAATGGAGCACCCCATAAAGAGTTTTCAAAGCCATGAAGCTAACTAAATTAGGAGAGGTAACCAGCACTGTTTTTGGGCTTGCTGTTATCTCATCTTATTTTTCCATTCTCAGATCTGGCATCTGTCACTTCATCTGGTCCTAGAAGTGCTGGGTCACCAGGACATCAAGGAGATTCAAGCCCACATACTGAAAAACATACGGTCCGAGTAACTCAGCGAGAAGGTATGTAAAACAAGTAAACTACTAATTTTAAAATCTGAGCCTCCTCTGTATGGGCGTGGGCTTATAGTTCAGAATGTTCTCTCCTATTGGACAAGGAGGGAATTAAAATTGGTGTTAATCATAGTGATGCTATTCTGTTCCCTTAGGTGGATCTCCACGTAATAGTCTTGAGGTTTTAACCCCAGAGGTTCCCGGGGAGAGGGATCGGGGAAACTGCATTACATCCCTGCAGCTCCATCCCAAAGGATGGGCTACCCTTCTTCGATGTTCAAGTAACACTGATGATCAGGAGGTAAAGTAGGGTGATGATAATGGTGCATATGTATGTTGATCACTTCATCACTCTTATCTGTTAATGGAACAGAAGTGAATTGTCACTCCATTGATAAATTATAAGAAATACAGAACAAATGTAGCAGCTCTGTGTACAATTGTAATCTTGAGCTGCAGTGTTTCCTTCATATATTTGGATCAGTGAATGATGTAGTAAACTTAGCGTGGCTGAAAACGATGCAGTTGAATGTCTGATTCATTATTTAACTTCTTTCTCATCATCTTTCAAGGTGATATCATGTTCTCTCTTGTGCAATGACTGAAAGACACAGAAAATCATATTCTCCGCTTATTTTGGTTCCAAGATTCAGGATACACAAAAGGACATACAATGTATAATGAATTGAGTATAATTGTACAGACATGCAGGTAGTCCTTGACTTACAATTGATCCTAAAATTTCTGTTGCTAAGTGAAACAATTGAGTTTTGCCCCATTTTACGACCTTCCTTGCCATAGTTGTTAAGCGAATCATTGCAGCTGTTAGCACAGTTGTTAAGTGAATCTGGCTTCACCATTGACTGTTTGTCAGAAGGTCGCAAAAAGGTGGTTTCATGACCCCAGAACATTGCAACCATCATAAATACGAGTCAGTTGCCAAGCACCTGAATTTTGATCATGTGGCCACGGGGATGCTGCAGCTGTCGTACGTGATAAGCCACTTTTTTCAGTGCCGTTGTAACTTCGAATAGTCATTAAATGAACTGCTGTAAGTTGAGGACTATCTGTATCAGAGCCCCGTAACTTAGATGGCTTTAAAGGGAACTAGAAAATTCACAAAGAATAAGTTTTTAACATGAACTCAGTAGTTAAAAACAAATGTCTCTGTTCATAAATCATATTTTCTGAAGACTTCCCTTACTACCTTTAAGCATTTGTTTAGTCATTGAGAAAATGCTGAATTCAAGAAATTCTAACCAGAGTTTATAAAGCATTGCTATTGCTGATGCCCATGTAATTAATTATAACATTGTGCACAGTTAATGCTGGTTGAGTCTAAGTGGCAGAAAATAACCAGTCCTGGCTAATTTAGAAAGACTAAGAAAGATCAGGTCTGTTTAATATTTAGGTGGGAGACAACAGGGAAGCACTGGTGGACTATCCACATTGTCACAAGAATGTCTCCATGAAACCTCAAGAGAGAGAAACAAGAGATTTATGCAATTTCTATGTTGATATAACATCAAATGTTATTTCCCCCCCTACTTTCTGTAGTGGACCTGTGTTTATGAATTCCAAGAAGGAGCACCAGTGCGGCCAGTTTCCCCTCGCTGTTCCCTCAGATTGACTCATTGCATCGAAGAGGCCAATGTTGGCCAGGGCTACATTAAAGAACTCTGTTTCAGCCCAGATGGTCGAATGATCTCCTCCCCACATGGCTATGGAATCCGTTTGTTGGGGTTTGACACCCAGTGCAGCGAACTGATTGACTGCTTGCCCAAAGAAGCCGCCCCCTTGCAGGAGATCCGTTCACTCTACTCGCACGGCGACGTGGTTCTGACTACCAAGTTCTCCCCCACGCACTGTCAGATTGCCTCTGGGTGCCTTAGTGGTCGTGTATCTTTATATCAGCCAAAGTTCTAGGCTCCCCCTGGCCTTCAAAGGAACATCTCTGTGTGTGTGTTTTTAATTACTTCAGTTTAGTTGGAGTGTTTGCTTTTTTAAACAAGTCTTGTAAATTTGGACAAGTACAGAGTTAATATTGGACTTAAAGCTGATTCCAAGTCCAGTCCTTTATGTGCTGTGACTGAATTTGCACATTAGACTTTTGTGTATCTTTTTGCTCCTGATAATTCCATCTCTATTTAGAAGTAGCTTGGTAGCACCTGTAAACCTTGTTTTCTGTGTGTCTCTTCATGCAAGATTTTGGGTGGGCTTGAAAGGAGGGGAAACAACCAGCTAAAACGTGTCTGCTGCTTTGTATCAAAGGAGTGGAGATCAGCCCACTTGGATTCTTTGATTTCTGGATTTTGCTGTATATTTTCTCCTAAGTAATAGAGCACTTTCTTGCACATTGGACTAATTATAGCCAGCATTTACATTATTTTTTCGTGAACAACTAAATAGACTGTTATCATTACTTTGTTGTATTTTTCTGCTGTGGTTCAATTTGTAGGCTGGTACTCTTTAAGAACTGTGCAGTGTTATATTATCGCTCTGTGCTCCCACACACAAACCCCTCTCATCTAGGTCCATCCTTGACTTGCTGGAGAAAGTTTATTGGGAACTGAATAACTTAACATTTTTCTTTTACACATTTCTGTTAAAGGAGCATCTTCTATAAAATTATTGGACATAGATTTGGAGAAGGGAGTATGTGCCCAACCATATCTATTTACAATCTGGCAGGAAATTCTCCACCACAAACCTCAGTGAAATGAAT